CTTCCTTCCATGACCCATGTTTGTCACTGCCTCTGAAGACCCATGTGTATGTTGCTGTCTACCATGACCCATGTGTGTTGCTGCCTAACATGACCCAAGTGTGTTGCTGCCTTTCAAGACCAATGTGTGAGTTGCTACCTACTATGTCCCATGTGTGTTGCTACCTACCATGACCCATGTGTGTGTTGCTACGTACCAAGACCCATGTGTGTGTTCCTGCCTACCGTGATCCATGTGTATTGCTGCCTTCCACGACCCATGTTTGTTACTGCCTTCCAAGACCCATGTGTGTGATGCTGCCTACCATGACCAATGTGTGTGTGTTGTTGCATACCTTGATCCACGTGTGTTGCGGCCTTTCATGACCAATGTGTGTGGCTGCCTTCCAAGACCCATGTGTGTGTTGCTACTTACCATGACACATGTGTGTATTGCTGCCTACCATGACCCATGTGTGTGTTGCTTCCTACCATGACCCATATGTGTGTTGCTACCTACCATGACCCATGTGTGTTGCTGTCTACCATAACCCCATGTGTGTTGCTATCTACCATGACCCATGTGTGTTGCTACCTACCATGACTCCATGTGTGTTGCAACCTACCATAACCCATGTGTTTTGCCACCTTCCTTACCCAATGTGTGTGATGCTACCTACCATGACCCATGTGTGTTGCTGCCTTTTATAACACATGTGTAAGTTTTGCTGCCTTCCATGACCCATGTGTGTGTTGCTACCTACCATGACCCACGTGTGTGATGCTACCTACAATGACCCATGTGTGTGTTGCTACCTACTATGATCCATGTATGTGATGCTACCTACCTTGACCCATGTGTGTTGCTGCCTACCATGACCCATGTGTGAATGTTGCTGCCTTCTATGAACTATGTGTGTGATTCCACCTATTATGACCCATTTGAGTTGCTGTCTTCCATGATCCATATGTGTTGCTGCCTACCATGACCCATGTGTGATGCTACCTACCATGATCTATGTGTATTGCTGCCTTCCATGACCCATGTGTGTTTCTACCTACCATGACCCATGTGTGATGCGGCCTTCCATGACCCATGTGTGATTCTACCTACCATGACCCATGTGTGTTGCTGCCTTCCATGACCTATGTGTGTTGTCGCCTTCCATGACCCATGTGTGTTGCGGCCTTTCATGACCCATGTGTGTTGCTGCCTTCCATGACCCATGTGATTTGCTACCTACCATAACCCATGTGTGTGTGTTGCTACCTACCATGACCCATGTGTGTTGTTGCCTTCCAAGACCCATGTGTGTTGCTACCTACAATGACCCATGTGTGTTGCTACCTACAATGACCCATGTGTGTTGCTACTTGCCATGTCCCATGTGTGTTGCTACCTATTATGACTCATGTGTGATGCTGCCTTCCATGACCCATGTGTGTTGCTGCCTTCCATGACCCTTGTGTGTTGCTACCTACCATGACCCCATGTGTGTTGCTACCTACCATGACCCATGTGTGTTGCTACCTACCATGACCCATGTGTGTTGCTACCTACAATGACCCATGTGTGTTGCTACTTGCCATGTCCCATGTGTGTTGCTACCTATTATGACTCATGTGTACAGTACTGCACTGTACCAAAATAGAATGAAGAGGTGCGCGATACCAAATACAATACAGTTGTGCACTGTACCAATTTCAATAAAGAAGTTCACTGTAGCAACATAAAATGCAGTAGTGAACTGAACGAAAATGCAGTGCCACAGTGTTCTGTTCAAATACACAATACAGTAGTGCACTGTAGCAACACATATTACAGTAGCGCACTGCTCCAACATACACTACAGTAGTGCACTGTACCAACACACAATACAGTAGTGCACTGTAGAAAAATCTAATACAGTAGTGCACTGTGCCAACATACACTAAAGTAGTGCACTGTACAAAATATAAAACAGTAGTGCACTGTACCAACAAACAACACAGTAATGGACTGTCCCAACAAACAATACACAGTAGTGCACTGTATCAACACACAATACAGAAGGACATTGCATTCTGTACAATATACAATTCAATACATACAATACAGTTGTGCACTGTGCAACATTCAAAGCAGAAGTACACTGTACCAACACACAAAACAGTAGTGCACAAAACCCACATACAATACAGTAGTGCACTGTACCAACAAACAATACAGAAGTACACTGTACCAACACACAATACAGTAGTGCACTGTACCAACAAACAATACAGAAGTACTCTGTACCAACACACAATACAGTAGTGCACTGTACCAACAAACAATACACTAGGGAAATGTAACGACATACAATACAGTGGTCCACTGTACATACATAGTATACGGAAGGTCACTGTACCTACATATAATACAGTAGTGCATTGTACCATCATACAATGTAAAAGCGCACTGTACCAACAAACAGTACAGTAGTGCACTGTACAAACATACAATACAGAAGTGCACTCTACCAACGTACACACCACAATACTGCACTGTGCCAACAAACAATACAGTAGTACACTGTACCAACAAACAAGACAGTAGTGTACTATACCTACATACAGTACAGTAGAGCACTGTACTAACATTCAATACAGTAGTGCACTGTACCACCATACAATTTGTAGTGCACTGTACAAACATACACTAAAGTAGTGCACTGTACAAACATACAATACAGAAGTGCACCGAACCAATAAACAACACAGTAATGGACTGTCCCACATATATTACACAGTAGTGCACAATGTACCAACAGGCAATACAGAAGGACATTGCAATCTGTACAATATACAATTCAATACAATACAGTAGTGCACTGTATCAACATTCAATACACTAGTGCACTGTACCAACACAAAAACAGTACAATAGTGCCACATACAATACAGTAGTACACTGTACCATAAACAATACAGAAGTACACTGTACCAACAGCCAATACAGCAGTGCACTGTACCAACACAAAATACAATAGTGCACTGTACAAACATATAATACATTAGTGCACTGTACCAACAAACAATACACTAGGGAAATGTAATACAATACAGTGCACTGTACATACACACAATACAGGTAGTGCACTGTACCAAGTGCATTATACCATCATACAATGTAAAAGTGCACTGTACAAACAAATAATACAGTAGTGCACTGTACCAACATACAATACAGTTGTGCACTGTACCAAACACACCACAGTAGTGCACTGTACCAACATACAATACAGTAGTGCACTGTACCAACACACAAAACTGTAGTGCACTCTACCAACATACAGTAGAGTAGAGCACTGTACGAACAAAACAATACAGTAGTGCACTGTACCAACATACAATTTTGTAATGCACTGTACAAACATACAATACAGAAGTGCCTGTACCAACATACAATAGAGAAGTGCACCGAACCAATAAACAATACAGTAGTGCCCTGTATCAACATATATTACACTAGTGCAATGTACCAACATACACTAGAGTAGCCCACTATACGAAAAAAGAATTCAGTAGTGCACTGTACCAACAGCCAATAACGCAGTGCACTGTACCAACTAAAATACAATAGTGCACTGTATTGTGTAAATTATATACAATATAATACATGCAATACATGTAATACAGAAGTGCACTGTACCAACTTATATTTCATTAGTGCACTATAACGACATATAGTTAAGTAATGCACTGCATCACCACACAATTTTAATACTGCACTGTACAAAACACCAATACATTAGTGCACTGTACCAAATACAATAAGTTGTGCACTGTACCAAATTCAAAACTGTAGTGCACTCTATTTAACATAGAATACAGTTGTACGCTGTACCAACATACAATACAGCAGTGCCTGAACCAACATAGCACAGTCCCTAACCAACCACCACTAATCACCCAATAACACACTTCGCATTTTCCAGACTCCTCGTCACTAACCATGCTACAACCTCAATAATCAATCCACTCTCACAACTCTGACCTGCACGAAGATATCCACTTGCATTGAAAATTCAATAGAAAAGACACTGGACCGACTCCTTAATAAATTTAAACATTGTTAACCATGCCTTAGACTGACTCAACACCACACTCTCCTACAGTAAGTAAACACAGATCCTGTGGTATAGACATGTTGATGGAACACATACATGCACATGCAGAGTGACAGTCTGAATGTACATTAATTGGAAAACCACATCATGTATGGTAAGTAGAACACCACATCATGTATGGTAAGTAGAACACCACATCATATATGGTAAGTAGAACACCACGTGTATCGTGAGTGGATACCACTTGTATCGGGAGTGGAATACCACATGTATAGCAAGTGGAACACCACCTGTATCATTAATGGAACTTCACATATATTGCGAGTGGAACACTACATGTATCATGAATGGAAAACCATAGTGTATGAGGTGTTGAGCATCACATATTGTATGATGAGTGGAACACCCAGTGCCGTACAGTTTTGGAACATAATGTTATATAATGAATGGAACTCCACATGTTGATTGGTGAACAAAACAAATTGTATATCGAGTAGACGATTACATGTTGTATGGTGAGAAAAATACCACGTTGTGTATTGTAAGGTACACCAAATGTTGTATGATGAGCTGGGCTCCTTATGTTGTATGGTAAGATTACACACACTGGAGTACAGACACTGTCATCCAAGCCTGTACACCCAGGGAAGCCTCGGAAGCGACCCCGCCATAAGTGAATCAAGTGACCCTGCCAGGTTCCTCAGGCCAATATTATGTGGTATTTAGTAACGAATTCCACAAGCTTCCTTATACCACCTCAGTTACCCTCCAATCACGTGAGTCGTGGGTGTAGGCTTGTGCTTAACCCTCACTTTTTTTAATTACTAGCTTTTTACTTTTTTGTGCAGATGAGATGAAAATAGTTTCTATCAACGAAGCTCACAACTCCTTTCGGAAGCAGGTGCAATGAAGGTCTTGAATTATTCCTCAGATCTCTGCGCAGTTCCCAGAGCTGCCGCCGCTGTTAGACCTGGAGAGGAACATGAGTCTGGGGCTGATCAATACCCACTTTAGTATTGGTATACCACTGCCCCTCCTGCCTTCAGAGGTGGAGGTGGGCGGTATGCACTGTCGACCAGCCAGCCCTCTGCCCGAGGTGAGTTGTCCTGCCCTCACAGGTGGAGGTGGGCGGCATGCGCTGTCGACCCGCCAGCTCTCTGCCCCAGGTGAGTTGTCCTGCCCTCACAGGTGGAGGTGGGCGGCATGCACTGTCGACCCGCCAGCTCTCTGCCCCAGGTGAGTTGTCCTGCCTTCAGAGGTGGTGATGGGCGGCATGCGCTGTCGACCCGCCAGCTCTCTGCCCCAGGTGAGTTGTCCTGCCCTCACAGGTGGAGGTGGGCGGCATACACTGTCGACCCGCCAGCCTTCTGCTCCAGGTGAGTAGTCTTGCCCCAGCCCGTCCTCCAAAAATGAGGAGGTAAATGTAACAGCCCCATAAGTGCAATTATGTACTAAGTATGATAGTCAGGATTTGTACTTATTTACACTTAGTGTTAAATCGTAGTCAAATATATTGTCAATATTTGAGTTTACCTGAAAAGCTGAATAGAAAACCACGACCTAACCTAACCGTCTTTGTTTTTGAAGATAAGCATTTTATTGCGTCTTAATTACAACTACGATATAATCTATAGCTATATTGATATTACAGTTTTATAAAACAAGTAAAACAAAACTATAATTTGTAAATAAATTGTAAAAGTAACTCAGGATATTTTAAAAGTTTTTATAAAATCTCTATTGTTTAATTAAACTGAAATAGAAATTCCTGATATTTAAAACTTGTGTATAGCAAACTGATCTTTAAAACTTCATCCTAAAATTCTGAGTGTGTTAACAGAAAACGAGGATAAATAAATGGGGAGGTAAATGTAACAGCCCCATAACTGCAATTATGTACTATGTATGACAGTCAGTAAATGCACTTATTACTCTTAGTATTAAAACGTACTGTCATTTCGGAGGATGGGTTGCCTTGCCCTCACAGGTGGTGGTGGGCGGCATGCACTGTCGACTTGCCAGCCCTCTGCCCCAGGTGAGTTGTCCTTCGCCTCTGATCCAACTAAGTAAAATGTCTTGTTATATATTGTGTTAAGTGAAGCTGTATGTTATGTAATGTCATTGGGGGTAATCTGTCTTGCCCGAGTTTTCTCACTGACATGTTAATTAATGTTAATATCATTTCTCCAACGATAAGCTTAATATACGGAGAAAGGATATAAAATTAAATAAAATTTGAAGTAAGACAAAATAAAGAAATAGTGTATCTGCTGTTGAAGTTGTTCTCGTGGGTCTAGCTTGTGTGTGTATAACTTAAGGAAGTATAGGGTCAGAGTGACTGTTGCTCCCACTTTCCTGCTGGTAAAATCCCTTATTAGTATCTTGTAATAAAGATTACAATATCTGCCCTGTATAAACTTGCACAAAAACATGAATACAAAAAAAATTAGTCTGTTTATTTAGTTAAAATAATTTTGATATGTTGTAATTTCAGCTGTTTCATCCAGCATATAACTATTTTCCTCCTTTTTAAGTCCAATTCATTCTCTTGATCTCAGTTAGTTTAATTATTAGTTTTTAAGTGTTTTCCCACATCTTACCAGAAACGCTATGTCTTTAGGCATAGTATGTACTAGTTCTACCTAGAAATCCAACATTCTGTTTGTAACTCATTTTGTATGTATGTACTTTTACCTGAATAAACATTATTATTATTATTATTATTATTAGTATTATTATTAATAATGCAAACTGCAGCAAGTCACTTGTAAGTAAAATAATCGTATAGCAGAATGTTGACAAAGATTTGTTAATAATGATGACCAGACCACACACTAGAATGTGACGGGTCTGGTCATCATACTTTAGCCACGTTATTGTGACTCATCGCCTGCATTTGTTAATAGTCTATCATTTAAGTTAGAAAGATTAATGTGAATATTTATTACTATAATTGTTATATACACAAAATTATGTAAATTAGTATCATTAGTTGTCCCACACTAGTTGTCCCCAGGGAATTTTATCTATGGATGTCTACTCCTGTAGGCATCCGTCAGTCTCAGGAAACTATGGAGTTGCGCTGTAGTTGTCGGTCTGGGGTGGCCTCTCCAGGGCGCAAAATTAGATAACAACTTAGTTATACCGAGTTGGGTGCTTTGGCCTCTTCCTAAGCACCTCCACACCAACTTAATTATTTGTTATTAGGAATCAATATTTGCTGTAAGAATAAAATGGGCTCCCAGTAATCTACTAAACAAATACTTAAGCTCTGTGTGGTGTGGTGGTGAAGGTGCTTGACGGTAGCAGCGGAGACGTCTGCTGATATTAACCACCTCTCCTCATAAACTTTCTGGTTCAACCTTGACAACGAATGGACGTCTGGATACCTCCTCCGCCTAGGAGTCGCCGGATCACGTTCTCTTTCGCGATTTTTATTATGATATTGCCATTTGGCATTCATATACAACGGTCTGGATTGTTAGGAACGACTTGCGCACATATATCGTCTTGGGTCACAGGATAGTTGATAGATTTTGAACGTTTTCAGAGTGGTTCTCTCTGCGGGGTGACGGTGTCCGGCGCCGGTTTGGCCGAGAGGTTTCGGGACTTTGTGGGTCTTAGTGGGCTCCAGGTGTTGCCTCAAACGTGGAGGGCGGCTGCATTCTGCTCTGCCAGGGGGCACTATTATGACTTTTGCATAACTTCTGCGTTTTTTGGCACAGGGATGTATTTTGCGTTTTAGTTTGGGTCCGGGTATTTGCTTTTGCTACCCAGTGTTCTCTGCATACTCACCTATTTGTGCTTGTGGGAGTTGAGCTCTGGCTATTTGGTCCCGCCTCTCAACTGTCGATCAACTGGTGTACAGATTCCTGAGCCTACTGGGCTCTATCATATCTACACTTGAAACTGTGTATGGAGTCAGCCTCCACCACATCACTTCCTAATGCATTACATTTCTCAACCAAACTTTGGCACTAAAAAAGTTCTTTCTAATATCTCTGTGGCTAATATGGGCACTCAATTTCCACCTGTGTCCCGAAGTGCACGTGCCCCTTGTGTTAAATAGCATGTCCTTGTCTACCCCATTAATTCATATGAGAATCTTATATATGATGACTATGCCCCCCCTAAACTCTTCTGTCTTCTAGCGACGTGAGGTTTAACTCCCGTAGTCTCTCTTCGTAGCTCATACCTCTTGTAGGAAAACTTGACTCATGTAATTCATTTAAATTGATGCTAATTCGATAGCTACGAAGGACCGCCACTTTTTAAGGACAAGTGGAAACTGGGAAGAGCAAGTGGTTAACTATTAAATCCATGAACTAGTGTCCTATGGATATTATTGATAATTATTATCTTGATATATATTGACTGTAATTCATGAATCAAATCTTCTCACCCAAAATGGGGGGTTAAATGTCAAAAGACTATTGCATCCCTGACATCATTTCAGTGTGGTTCGATCACTGAAGTAAATGAGATAATTAGTTGCAGAGCTGTGCAAAGATAATTAGAGATGAATGGGTCTCAAGATACTACAATAGCCTAGTATTATCACCAATGGTTAGTAACATGAATATATTGAGTAATGGTTAGACAAGAAATTTATTCTCATATGAAGTTCATGAGGCTATCAAATTGTACTTGATTTCCTAAATCATGTAAATTAAATATCCTTAAATAATTGTTAGTTATTAACTGTTACGTAATGAAAAAAACAAAACTGAACTAGTTCAGCTGCTTAGCTGTGACAGTGAACGGAGACGCAGAGTCGTGATGGCGTCGTCTGGTGCTTGCTGGAACACGCGAGCCCAGAGCGTGGCGTGGGAAAGTGGTCGCTTCAACACACGCGGAAATTCCAATTAAATGTACAAATTGGCCTACACCAGGTAGATTGTGTCATCACTATTCAATAGGAGGGACAGAGCAAATTCCTTACGGACGTACCTGTTGTTTGGGGAGGTCTTGTGGTGTAACGATGGACAGTGTATTATAAATTAAAAAAGAGCTCAGTTAATAATATGAGAACACTTAACCTGCTGGTTGTCCACCGATGTAATCCTTAGATTGCTACTAGGCCGAATAGTTGCAAGGGCCTATCGTAGAATTGTTGGAAATTCGCCTCTCCTTGGACGCTCGTGTCATACTTCTGATGGCGTCGCTCGTCCAGCTCCGACTCCTGCGAGAGTTGGGTCGCTACTCCTGGCGTCGCCACGCCTCCACCTCCCTCAACCCTCTCTCACGCATTCGCAGTAAAATTTAGTAAGGACAGAAAATTCCTTTCCGTGTAATTATTTTACGTAATGCGTTAATGAAAACAGGGTTGCAATTGTACGGAATTAAATATTATTTATATTCTCGCTAAATGGTGTTATCATGAACAGTGTTCTTATTAACGAGAAATGGAGAGAATTTCTATTTCCTCCATAGCGTTTGGATATAACGATAAACTGTTATATAGTGATAATTTAAGTTAATAACTCGTAGTTATCGAATCACTAGTCGTAATATTATCAGAGATTAATTTTAATAAAGAATACTGATAAAAGTTGAGAATATTATTCAATTCTGTAACATATATGGTAATAAATATGTCCTGCTGAACATTATCTGACGCAATATACCTCGTGATGTGGTGAGAATTTCAGCAAATGACACGCAGATAGAGAATATTAATTTATATCAGTACTACAGTTAGTTGGGTTAATAAATTCTGTAGTTAATACAATAATGATGTATTGCAATACAAGAAATGATGTATTAGTGTTGGAAACATTCCACCACCTCTCAGTTCTGGGACTAGCCCAGTGGAATACCTCTGAACTTTTTTCAGCATCGTCTTGTGCTGACAAGGTACGGGCTCCATGCTGGGCCGCATACTCCAGGATTGGTCTTACATATGTGGTATACAAGGTTCGGAATAATTCCTTACACAGGTTCCTAAAGGCAGCATGTGTGTTGCTGCCTACCATGACCCATGTGTGTTGCTGCCTGTCCATGACCCATGTGTGTTGCTGCCTTCCATGACCCATGTGTGTTGCTGCCTTCCATGACCCATGTTTGCTGCCTACCATGACCCATGTGTGTTGCTGC